GAACTTCTTTGTTTTTCTTCTTCAAATTGTTGTTGGTTTGTAAAAGATCCCCAATGACCAGTTTTTGCTATCTCCAATCGACATAATTGCATGTATAGATAAAACAATAGACAAGCACATTTGGGCTACTGTCACCTCATAGACAAAACAATATAAACTTCACAGTTCATCTTAAAACGCACATGAAATAATCGAAATTAACACTGAAATACTGATGGACAAAGTCAAATAAAAATTGAAAAGAACCGCATCAAGAGTGTTCAGTACTAAACTCAGTATGTTTTACCCCTCATTCATGTACTTATAAACTTAGTATGAAACTTATGCTCTCTTACTCTTCAAAACTTCAGGAACAGAACTATCTCCACCGTTCACAATCAGCTCAAAAGTATGCCCTTGTGTGTGATTATAAATGACAAGATCTGAATGCTTGGAGGGAGTATTATAACACTCACAAAAATCAAAACCTATGCCTCTTTCAAAGATGATCACAATACATTCTCCCAACAATTATCTGTAGTGCTTCCCAACTATTGAATATTTGGATAAATATCTGTAGATATTAGATAGCCAGTTAGGCAGTAAGAACATAGCTAAAGGATGAAGGGGAATGTACTGTATGTCTGAGAATTCCTCAAATTGAAATTTAGGTAGATTGTTGTCTTCTCCTTTCAACAGAAAGATATCTTAGCAAAATAAGATTTCTTCAATATCATTAAGTTCTTAAGATAGGCAATTTTATTGAAGAGTATATAATTTTTTTAAGCAACTTCAAGGAAAAATTCTAAACCAAAAATGCAAGATCCATTCGTAGAAAAAAATTATTGATCAGAATCGACAATTGGTAGCTTCATCTTGTACTGATAGAAGTCCCACAAATTTTACGTAAATTGAATCATCCAAAAATGAAATTATCTCACAGTTATCACAAACAAATCCAATAGGTACATTAATCTAACTGGAAAGTCTTCTCCCTATCTATTCCTGCACATGAAAGAATAGATTGGGTCAGTCAATACATTTTGACCAGATGATGTCCTTGAAAGATCAAACTCATCAAAATAGGAATTCGGGGGACAACAACAAAGATTTTAATATGCAATACACTTCTCTTTATATGTTAATAAACAAAGGAACAGTTTTTAACAAGAAAAAAATGCAGAGGTTTTGTTTAACAAGAAACAAATGCACAAAGCAAGAGAATTAAGGACACAGTTGTAGTTAGAATCTAATGTTTAAAGCCATAAGGAACGTAGCTCCTTTCTCTCGCGACTTCATCTTCTGCTAGAAATTTTGACAGTATTGCCCTTACTTGTGTGCGTGTTTATGTAATATGAGTCATGAAATACATTGGCAAAGCAATATAAACATCACAGTTCATCTTAAAACACACTTGCAATAATCACACCATTTTCATTGTAAAACACACATGTAATAATTGGAATTAATAGCCATGGTTATAGACAAATTCAAACAACAATACACTTGCATCAAGAGTGTTCGGTACAAAATTAAGTATGCTTTACCTCTCACTATGTACTTATAAACTTGATCAGAATCAAATTAATGCTTTCTTGCTAGCTCTTCATCAGTTTAGGTAGGTTTTGCAACCACAAGACCAACTTGGGCATCCTCTGAAGTATCATCGGGATGTACAGGAACAGAACTATCTCAAGGGTTTGTACTAAGCTCAAATGTATGCTTGGATGGAGTATTATAACATTCTTCACACAAATCAAAACCCTGATATATGCGCTCAGGGTAAAGAACACGTTTCCCCCAACAGTCTTTGCATTTGTACCACTTCCCACCTACTAGACATATCTGTAGAGATCCATTTAGGAGGTAAAAGTATGACTACTGGAAACTACTGCATGCCCAAAAACTTTTCAAATTGAAACATTATGGCAATTATTTCGTATATGCTTAATGCAGAAATTTTGGCAGACTGCTATCTTATCATATCGACATTAAAATGCCTTAAGATTAGCAATTTCGTCAAAGTTTATATATCATAGTTTAGCAACCCACAAAAATATATGAAGTAACGAAACAAGAACACAAGATCCATTGGCAGAACTAAGTTATCAATCAGAAAGGAGTCAAAGGACCATTGCCAGCTTAAACTTGTAGGGACTGAAATCCAGGGAAATTTACTTAAATCGTGATAAAATGCTACAAAAAGAATATCATTCCCAAATGAATCTGTAATTGGGTTCTAAATGTTACCTTGCAACTATCACACAATGTCATTGTCATCTGACAAGTCACTCTCCTCTCTATCAATTCCTGCACATGAAGAATAGAATGGTCACAGTAAAACACACTGCCCATGCACAAAGATAAAACGGTTTAAGGTGACACCAACATTAAAAACAAGAGTTGAAGTAAACAGTCAAATTAACAAGTAATGGCAATGTCAAAGTGGTTCAGTTCACCTCACAACTGCTTAGGTCCTTTCTCTCAGCACTTTATCTTCTGGTATATAGTATTGTTTACATGTATCCCTCCCCTGTGTGTGTATGTTTATGAAACTTGACTACTTGAGTCATGAAACATTGAAATACATGGACAAAGAAATATAAACTTCACATGCAGTTCATCTTAAAACACTCTTGCAATAATCAGACCATTTTCATCTTAAAACACACTTGCAATAACCAGGCCATTTTCATCTTTGAACACATGCAATAATTGGAATTAACACTCATAAAATCTGAAATACTCATGGACAAAGTCGAATAAAAATGAACATTTCTTAATCTGCTTCAATTTTCAAAATGCTATCTGAAATGTCCATCAAAATCGAACTTTGTTAATCATTTGGCAGCAAGGTTTTCTATTTCCTTAATTAATTAAAAACAATCGACAAATATTAACAAAAGCATTTATTTTCGATGCTAATGACATTATTGAAATTTCGTCATTTGTAAGTGAAAGGATGGAATCTTTATTTTCTCTTCATAAAATATATTCAACAAATAGTCACACTGTTGTAACCATGCTTAGGAAATTGTTAGGATTTTCTACTTGAACTGCAAAAGTAACAAATGGACTACAGGAAGTTTTATAGAAACCAAAAACCGAAAAATCAAAACAAATAATAAACATAAACTAGAAAGAAAACAAAACAGTAAAACAAAAATGAGTTTATTTCCAATGCTAATCATAACTATTGAACATAACCCATTTGTGAGTGAAAAGATAGAAACTTTTTGGTCAAATTTGGGGTAATACATATCTCTACATACCTGCTCCTTCTGGGGCACACTCATCTGATTGGGAACTCTTCTCTCCTTCTGACATTGACTGTCTATTCATCAGATCATAGATGTATGCACGCTTATCTGCACATAAAATAATACATTTGGGCATAGTGAATGACAATATCACGAAGCAAAGTATATAATTCAAATTAAAAAAGAATTTTGGGAAAAACAATTATAGTAGAATGATATGAAGTGTGATACACATTATTTTTTCAATGCCCATATGCACAAAAAGTTTGACTTTAGGTGAAGCAAGTTTCCGGTTTCCCCAATGGGAGGTGGCCTTCTCACGTCAAAAATCCACCCCGTGGTTTATTGAAAGGTGGGGGTTTTCCAATCGCAAAGTGGTTCGGAGTATGGGACGGCATTTTTAATGCCGTATGAAAGTATAGAAACAAACGGCTACCGTGTGACATAATGGGCTTGGGCTTAAGTTGGGTTTGAGTGGGTTAACAGACGGCAGTACAAATGTTGTGTGATTTGATACCTTCTAAGCTACTGTCTCAAGATCTTTCTTAATGTAAAGAGTCATTTTCTAGTCTCGATACCATCAAAGCTAGCAATTTTCTTATCATTCTTAAACATCAACCTCTCTTGGAATTGAAGAATCTGTTCATCAGCATCAATTTGATACTCTGTTCATCAATTTGATAATCTAAACCTCAACAAAAACAAACTTGTGAATTTTCTTCAAATTACTATACGAAATGAAAATCAAGTTTCCAAAAGGCGATTTGATCGAAAATGACGAAAACATACGATGAATTAAAAAAAAAACAAGAAATTAAGTAACAGAGATTTGATCAACCTTAGAATTAGGGGTGG